GGTTTGGGTTCATCATGCTAATCAAGTTTCAAATTTTAGGTTGGTATCATCAAGTTTCAGTCAAGAATAACATGATCATGCTTGTCTTAATTTGTAGATTTCTATTTGCTTCGGATTTTCATTTGATTTTGGTTTGGATTGGACATTGGTGGTGGTGAAGGACTGTCATGTTTTTAATTTTCAAAAGGGAAATAGCATTGTGAAAAGCTGAAACTACCCTCATGTGCATGGCACATAAGGGAGTTAAAAACAAACGGGCGCTAGTGTGAGGGACCAAACCTCGTAACTTAGTTTAAAACATGGACCATTTCTACATCATTCTGTCAATTTTACTCAACATGGACACAGGTGCTATGTTGAAGAAACATCCAGGACTAAACATGTAATTTACTCAATATATAATTCAATTTTATAAGATGTCGAGTATTTTGGTCTTTTGATAAAAAATAACTATGTAATTGAATCCTTTTTAGGAATGATAGATCCCTACATACCTGAATTCCATCCATTTAACAACCAAACAAACCAAGGAATAGAATCTCGAATTCCAATTCCAATTCCAACTCGAATTCCAATTCCATTGGAATCGATCATAATTCCAATTCCAATTCCATGTACTCTTTTTTTAACATCCATCCAACAAATATCTGAATCCATCAATTGCATATTTACATCCAGATTTAAAGAATGTTTCGGATTCATAAATCTCTCATGAACATAAACAAATCCAGGGAATCACGAAATTACAAACACAAATTAAAACATTTTTTGTCAAACAAAAGTTTACATATAAAAAAAAAAAAGAAGCTCCAATTTTCTTTTTCAAGCTTCTTCCAGTCATACACATCAACAAATATCGTTGATTGATGACAACAGGGAAGCATCGAACCCACTTCTCCTTTTATCACTCCTAAAAAACTAATCTAAATCCCTAAAAACCTTTATCTTCATGATTCCCTTCTTTACATTCACTTTCTTATCATACATCTATCTTTCACCACCCAATCTCCTCCTCCTCCTCCTCCTCCCCGATCTTCCCAAAATAACCCTACCCTGCCGCCTCAGACGGCTCACCAATGACATCCCATCACCATCACCACCACCGTCATCATCATCATCATCATCATCATCAAGTACTCTTGTGTCTCCCCCATGACCAAATGCGTGAAACAAAAGAAGCATATTCATGAAATTATTATTGATTCCGACATTCCCTAAACCATCATCATCATCGGAATCCAAACCGTATGGATTCCGTTCAATGACGTAATCACCGAATACCACGGAACCAGGCATTGAAGAGGTGACGGTGCTAATCACATCCTCCCGCTCACGTTCCTGCTCGAGCCGCCGCCATTTCTGCTCCTGGTCGGGGTCCACTTCACGTGGCTTAGCCGATGGGTGCACCTCTCTCACGTGTTTCTTTAACTCCTTATACACCCCAACAAAACTACACTCATTATGCATACAACTTCTTTTCTTTAAATTAAGATACTCACGAGCAGACTCCACCACTGTCCACCCTTTCACCTGCCCGCGACACAGCGGGCAGGCGAGCTCCGCCCCTTCTCTGATTTTCTCAACCGGTGGTGGTGGTGAACCACCACCACCACCACCACCACCGGTTGCTGGGGGCGGAGGAGGGTGGTGGTGGGCTTTGTACTGGTCGAGACAGTTGGAGTAGCGGGAGCTGGTGCCGCACATGTATGGGCGGCAACCTTTGTTGTGGGAAGAACAGAGGAGGAGGACAGCATTGTGAGGGTATTCCATGCACACTGAGCAGGTTATGTCTTCCCAGTCTTTTGGTTTTCCGGTGAGGTCGCCGGAGACGTGGCGGCAGGTGAGGAGTGGGTATGGGGTGGTTCTGTGGTGGCTTGAAGCGGTTCTACGTCTTCCCCTGGCACTTTTTGCCATATTTTGAAGATTTTAACCTGATGTGAAAACTGAAAAAGATTGATAATTTTGAGATTTGGGATGAAATAAGTTTTCAAGAAAGTAGAAAGGCAAAAATGGTAAATCACAATGTCCGAAAAGAACAATTATAAACACGCAAAATTGTATCTTTTGAAAGATAGTGAGTTGTAGGAAGAATCTGAATGCATATACATGTATAAGTATTTTGCATAAATATGGTATTAAGTTCTCTGGAGTAACTACAAATGAGGTGGAAACTATGTAATTAAGCATTAATTTACTTTCCATGTTCCAAGAATTGATCCAATAATATTAATCACAATTCACACAAACAAATTACAGCATAACATTTCGATCAATATATCAAAACAAGCTACATTTTGCTAGCATAAGAGAAACACTTGTGATAATTGAATTATTGAGAAGTAATTGCTGAAATTCGTTATGTGGATCATCATCTAGAAGAGCAATTAAGAACAAATTAGAGCAATGGAAGCAAGCTCAGGTAACATAAGTTGAATTATCAAACATGAAGTCTGCAAAATTGACCAAACCACTTGAACTTCAAAACAAATCTGGATCCAGTAGAGATCAAAGATAAGGTGCCACATCGAAATCATCAGGGGAACAAGAGATGGAAATGAATAAATAAATAAGATTCTTTCGAATCCGAAGCATAAGGACACAAAACTAATTTGTTTTAATATAGAAAATCGAAAAGCAAGTGAAATCTAACCAACTGCAATCTACGATTCAAAAACGTAAATTTTACAATTTTGTCATAATCCGTTGAAAGAAATCAAATCAAATGATTATTCGAAACACAGTCACCAACTAAAAGATGAAATAGACTGGTTAAAAACAAATCATACCTGACAATCCTTGGGAGGAGTTTACAGGGTTAGATTTTTGTCAAAGACAAAGATCAGATTAGGGTTTTGTTGAATTGAAGGGGGGAGATCGAGGGATTGAATTTCGCTCTTTTGCGTAGGGGAAGTATATATCGGATTTATCGAAAAATTGCCCAATCGATATTCGCTCTGAAACGTAGGGAGAGAAAAAGCGAGAGAGAAATGGGAGTAGTGGGGTACTGCGGATCCACGCAATTTTAGGGAGCGTGGAGTCACGGACGACGGACTGAGCAGAGTTTTCAATTTTGGTCCTTGCGTTTAGGTACATCTTTTACTAAATCACACGAATGGTCCTTTAAGTTTGTATTTTTTTCCCTGAGTTAATCCGGACGAAACCTTGAACGCAAATGGACCTTGGGTTGGATGTTCGCTAAAGCAACATTAACATGCCTCCATGTGCCTTGCACATGAGTGAGGGTATTTTCGTCATTTCACCTAAAAGACGGTTTACGAACATTTTAATTGCACACCTGATGAATCCATCCTCGTTGTAATTAGGGCACCTAATCGATCTCCCTTCTTCTTCCTCAAAAACCTTCCTGCTCCCACTGCAATTTGGGCATGGCAAAAAATCTTGCATCCCCACAATTATCGCAAAAAAAAAAAAACCCAGGATCAATAACAGGAAAATCCTTCACAAACTTAAACAAAGTTCCATCCTCGTGAAGCCGTTTGATCTCATCTGCACCACCGATATGTTTTCCCATTCGACCCCAAATCAACACTAGATGTGAATGACCCCAACGTTCCATCTGTTTTCGTCTCCAAGTCGATTTCTATCAAGTAAATTTCGAAATCACGATGTCGACTCCAACTCAAACACGTTCGACCCTGAGCATTGCTTTGTTCAACCTCAACATTCCATCTAATTTTTTCCCCTGTTCGATTTCCACTATATGACCAAGACCATCAAACTATTCGACTGGTCACACATCGAACTTCAAGTGTGCACATCGAAATCAATTTCGTCCAAATTTAAGAATGCATCAGTCATACCAGTTCGACTCCAAAGCCACTTTCCATCTTATTTAGACTCAAAATCAACCATCAACAACAATTTTGACTTTAAATTCGATTCGATTTTCAGACGACTTCAACCAAATACGACTCCAAGTACGTTTGATCAGAATTCGAACTACTCCAATCAAAATCAACTTTGACTGGGACTCAACATCAGTCGTAATTCCCAAATATATTCTGACTCATCTGATTTTGACCAAAACACATTCGATTTTGAGACTCTTGATGCTTCATCGACTTGAATAACTCAACAACATCATTTATCATACGGAATTATAAAGGTTGACTTGAACAAAACTTAGTCAAAATTGAATGCGATTCTAACCAACATAAGCTCGATGCCAATCCAGTCTCCACACAAATCAACAATACGATCAAACTTGATTTCGATTCCAAAATTGTTTTTGACATGAACTCAATCAACGAACACCGTCGAAATCGAGTTCGATTTGTTCAACTTTGACTTTCTCTTATGCGAATGGTAATTGGACCAATGAATAACGAAAGATCAAGAATCTTGGGCTCAACAATTTTGGACTCAATAATCGGCAATAATCGGATAAATTGATTGGACTTATTTGATCGATGAATAGTATCTGAATTAATTGAAGTTGGGCTTTTGATCAGATCATGAAATTGGTTCATATGATCAAAAAGAATTATGTGTGTGGGCTTTTATTTGGACTTGAATTTTGGATCAAAATGATTAGGAAACATGATTGCGCTTGATCTAAAAAAAATTATTGAATCATCAATGGGGTTGAAACGAAATAGATCCAACAAATCAAAACGATCAACAATCAAAAACGAAAAGCACGATTTAAAAAAAAATGATAAAATTCAAATTTTGAGAAAAATATTCATCTTCATCTTCGATCTCAACATGAATTTTTCGGAATCCACTTGAGAATTTGAGACAACTTATTGATGATTCTTTTTTCGTTTGCAACACATGAATCGATTTTTGAAGATTTTGGTTCTTTTGTTGGAACAAGAAAATATTCAATCTTCACATTGTACCACCCACGATGCATGTTGTACAACCCGTTCTTCGCATTTTTCAACAATCTAGCATCATCTTCATAAGAATCTTCAACAACTTTGGGTTTGGAATTCAAATTCATTGCAACACTTGATGATTGTTGCTTTGGAACCCAAATTTGCTTCATAGATTTCAGATTCATGACAACTTTTGAAGATTTTTGTTTAGAAACCCAATTGTTTTTGCTTTTGATCTTCTTCTTTTTCTTCCTTTTCATCTTTTTGGATCTTGAAGATTTGAATTCAAGAACAACTTCATTCTTGACAACTTCAACTTTGCAAGTTTGAATCAAGTCTTTTGGAGTTTGATACATTTGGACTTCTTGGATTGAAGGCTTTCGATAAGGCACCATTCTTTCAAACAAATCACAACAATTCAGCCATTCATCGGTTTGAACTCCAATTGAACGAAAAACTTTCACACTGTCACAACTAGCATTTTAGCTAGGAAATTCTATTCTCATGTAAACATTCATCTAGTGTAATGACTTGTACTCTAAATGAATATCATACTCTATGCTCATTCAAATACATCTCATATGTTCAATTCAGGGTTGGAAACCCTAGAAATCCAGGTTCCAGTTCTGTATGAACTAAGATTCTCCTATTGGGTCTAATAGGCCAATAAACCTTCAACTTCACTATCTTGGGCCTAGGAACCCTAATTGGGCTCTAAATGGACCACATTCATAAAATTTTAGCATTTTGGGCCATGTGGACTGTTGCGGCATCGACCTCCGACGAGTCTTCTGGTCTTCTGCTGCGGCGGAGATCTGGACATCACAGTGCAAAGTCGTTAGAGCCGCCCCAGGGACTGTGTCCCGAGAGCGGACTCCGACGGTCAAGTTAGATCAGCTAGAAGATTTGAGATGGTCCTCCATAGCTGGAGAGAACCATCTTGGTGCTAGTGGTGGTGTATGGTGGCTGACGGCGG